GGGTCATTTTATTCATAGAATTCAATAGGCACACTCAATAAGTGATATGGACCACCTCTGGATGAATTTCAGGTCGAGGTCAGGTCAAGGTCAGGTCAAGTGAGGTCAAATTTTGAAGTTGGTTGTTAAGGCCTAAAAAGGTGTCTATCTGATGCAGTTTTTCACGGCGAATCGAATGGTGCTATTTTTGTTTCCGTACGAGGTATAGAACTTCCAAAAAAGTCATTTTTCAAAAAAATGTGTGTCGTGACGTCATAAAATTTTGAATAACTCCCACATTTTTGAACCGATTCTTCTAAAATTTGGTATGTAGGTGCACATAGACCACTTCTCTGACATATATTCCGGTTTTTTCGATAGACTCAAAATTTTGGATTTTATAATGATTTTCCCAAAAAAGTCAATTTTTTGAAAAAATTTAGGCCAAAATTCAAAATTTTCAAAAAACCGAGATAGCCATTTGATAGACAAAGTAAAATTACGTATAACCTTTTTTGTTACGTCTTGATTCCTTTAAAAATGAAGATGTTAGCGGCGTTTGAACTTTTGCCGTTTTTGAGGCGAAAATGGCGAGCATGACGTCACTAAAACGTCAATTTCTCAAAAATTTTCCGACGGATTTCGCTCAAATTTTCAGGGAACGTGTAAAATTGATGTAAGAAAAGGTACTGAAAGTTTGGCGGCGCTGCGCGGCGCCGTTTTTGAGATATCGCAAAAATTCGCGAGGGGGGGTAAAATTTACCCCCCCCCCCCAGCCCCGCGCGGGTTAACCCTCGCATGTGTAGGGGGGGGGGTCGGATGGACCCCCCCCCCATGGTTTTTCGCGAATAACTCGCGTAAAAAGCGGCCGATCGCGACGAAACTTTCAGTACCCTCGCATTGATCAATTTTACACCTACCCTGAAAATTTCATGACCCTGACCCAAATGACCTTTGACCTGTGACCTCTTTTCCGAGACCATGTTTGGCCGGAATCGCGATTTCGCGTATGTCGGCTCGCACTAGCCGCGTGTTTGCAAGCTTTTCGTGGTTTCAAACGTTCAAACATGTGATTTGATGTTACTCCCGTGTGTGTCAAGGTCACCTGAAGGTCAGGTCAGGTCATTGACCTTTGGTGACCTCGGGTGACCTCGGGTCACTTTTTCGAGTTTTACATGTTTCTAGGCTAGTTTTTGGAGCTAAATTCGAATTTAGCAACCATTTGAACATTTACGAAGTAGTTTTGGTGACTTCGTAACATGTTACGAAGCTGTCAGAGGCGGTTGACACGTACTACGAATACCCGTCACGACGCCTACTGGTTGACCTGACCTGACCTGACCCGACCTGGTCTAAATGCTTCAAGACATCATCTGTGATCAAAACTAACACGATATTCGTGATCAGCACCCCGAAAAACCCCTTAGCAGCCACACTTTACGACTTTCTAACAGGTCCCGATTTTCCCGACTTTGGGTCATTGACCTGACCTGGAAGGTCAACCAATGACCTAGGACCTTAAAATTGGGTATCATCGGCTTCCTCTCGTCACGGGCAACACGCTCGTTTTTTCCGCGAAGCTCTAGCTCGATCAGGGGCCAAACGGCAAGGGGGGGGTCCAACCGACCCCCCCCCCCTACACATTAGAAGCTGGCAAACGCCGCACACATGCGAGGGTTAAAACTGCATACACAATACACATATCCACGGCCATATATCACAGGATACTCATACGTGCCGCCGCGGCCGGTGCAGTCTTGGAGACTGGTAAGGAAAGAATAGCGAGATGAGGTGAAAAAATCTGCTGACGGACAGGATCTTAGGAATGAGTTGGTGTGCGTTGGGATACAGCAGAGGAGACTACAGAGGACGGTGTTGACTCTGTCAAAAGGAACAGAACAGTGAGATGAGCCGCGAGTTCGCTTCTCTTTACTGTCATCACCTGGGAACAACCCCAATCATTTTCGATCTAGTCGGTCTCGGGTCTCGATGCACTTAACACGCGCACTGCAGCGGGTCTGAGCCGAACACGAACTACAGGGGGGGGGAGGTTGAAAACAACTACCCCTGAGATCTCAAAAACGGTGCAACGTAGCGACAAGCGGTAAACGGCGTTGGACAGGTTGAGATGAGATCTACAAGAAATACTGAGATCATTTTTGGGTCAGGTCAAAAACGAGGTCAGCAGAGGTCACCAAACTCAAAATGTTGCGATTTTTAGCGATCTCGACATCCCTCCATATTTCCCGCTTTATCTCGGGAACTAGATGAGCTAGAAAGTTGCGAAAAAAAAACATTCGATAGCTGTTGAAACGCTCTTTCGCTAATCTGTCCTCATATTTGACCTAAGGTGCCTATAGAGGTCATGTAATGTCAGATCAATATTGCAAATTTTCCGGAAATGTTTTTTCTGCAATAACTTTTCTTCCCAAAGAGATAGAGAAATAATTCACACACCATCGTTCTTAGCTCGTCAAGGCGCATCGAATGGTATATAATATGACCTCGAAAGGTCAAGTTCAAAAGTTGACCTCAGGTGAAGGTCATGACCTGACCGAAATAGGTCATGTTGCATATCATTCGATCCGCATTGACGAGACAAACACGATAAACGTCGAACGGAGTCTCTACCTCTATTCAATCAAAAGTTATTGAAGAAAAACCGTTGGTGACCTGAGATCGAGGTCATGTTAGGTTAAACATTGACCAAACTAGGTCAAGTTGCATCTTGATCGACGCGTCTTGATAAAATAAGCGGGATGGTGAAAGAATGACGTTTCTATGTCCCATACTTCTCGAGTTATGTCCGAAATTGCATGCCGGGCCCCAAAAAGTGACCTGACCTAAGGTCACAAAAATAAAAATTTCGAAATATACAAAATGTTCCTTATGGTCTCATAATATGTTTCTGAAAGTTTCATAGCAATCAGACAAATGGTGTGGATGTAGCACAGCGTCAAACTTTTTATGAGGTGAGGTCACTTATCGTGACCTGGTGACCTGACCTTGCATGACCTAACACTAATTTTTTTCAGAGGTGATGTAAAATTGTTTGATAAACAGCTATACAAAGTTTCAAAGTCGTAGCTTCACTGGCTTTTGAGTTACAGCGAAAAAACCAGAGGGGGGGGGGTTGAAAACAACCCCCCCCCTGCAGTGCGCGTGTTAATACGTACAGTCCACAGAAGAAGTAATGTGTGGTTTCAGTCATGGGTATGTTCTGCTTCTGAAGCCTAGGAACGATTAACCAGACTAACGAGACTTTAAATATAGCTTACATGTATCTTCACCCTTGCAGCTACAACTTTATCTATTGACGTCTTCTTTTCAATCAGTTCGCATTAAAAAATCGTCGGTCAAAGCCATCCGTTGAGATTGGTAAAACCACAAATTTCTTTAGCGGTGGGCTGTACGAGCAGTATTCGAAATTGCGACGCTTAGGTACAGGTCTCGCGGGTTTTAGCGGTAGGTTTTGCACCTAGAACATTTAGCGTTCTTCAGGGTATAGCTTCGTCGTCTTAAGCTTTTAACCCGCGCGGGGCTGGGGTCTCCAGCCGAACGCGCGGGGCTGGGGGGGTAAATTTCCCCCCCCCCCTGTTATCTCCCGAACTAATGGTCCGATTTGGAAAATTCAAACGCCAATCGAAAGATCTCATCACGAACAACTAAAAACATGTACTTAATTTAAAGTTTGAGGTCAAGGTCAAGGTCAGGTCAAGGGTACAAATTGGAAGTTTCTACAGTATCGGCCTTGCACCGTAGTTGCCGAAGAATGGAGTCATGGACTGAGACTGATTGCCCAAAACGTGTTCTTAGGCTACCAGGACAATATTCATTGCATACAATATCAATCAGAGTTCAAGGTCAAGGTCAGGTCAGGTCAGGTCACGAAAAACAAGATATAGAAAAGGGCATGTGCGACACATGTTTTATGGGTCATTTTACTCATAGAATTCAATAGGCATACTCAATAAGTGATATGGACCACCTCTGGATGAATTTCAGGTCAAGGTCAGGTCGAGGTCAGGTCAAGTGAGGTTTAATTTTGAAGTTGGTTGTTAAGGCCTAAAAAGGTGTATATCTGATGCAGTTTTCACGGCGAATCGAATGGTGCTATTTTTGTTTCCGTACGAGGTCTAGAACTTCCAAAGAAATCTTTTTCAAAAATTTTGTGTGTCGTGACGTCATAAAACTTTTAATAACTCCCACATTTTTGAACCGATTCTTCTAAAAATTGGTATGTAGGTGCGCATAGACCACTTCTCTGACATATATTCCGGTTTTTTCGATACACTCAAAATTTTGGATTTTATTTTTTTTTTTAAATTCCAAAAAGTCAGTTTTCTTAAAAAAAATTGGGCCAAAATCTGAAATTTTCAAAAAACCGAGATAGCCATTTGATAGACAAAGTAGAATTACGTATAACCTTTTTTGTTGCGTCTTGATTCCTTTAAAAATGAAGATGTTAGCGGCGTTTGAAATTTTGCCGCTTTTGAGGCGAAAATGGCGAACATGACGTCACTAAAACGTCAATTTCTCAAAACATTTCCGACGGATTTCGCTCAAATTCTCAGGGAACGTGTCAAATTGATATATGAAAAGGTACTGAAAGTTTGGCGGCGCTGCGCGCCGCCGTTTTTGAGATATTGCAAAAATTCGCGAGGGGGGGTAAAATTTACCCCCCAGCCCCGCGCGGGTTAAGTGTTGAAGATGCGATCGACTTGTTAGGTAACAAGCCGGCCATGATCGTGTAAAATGGCTTCGTCGTAGATCGATTAGTTTCTGAGATATAAACGGAAATGTAAAAGTGCAAAACCTACCGCTTAATCTCGCGAGAGCCGTTATTGTTGCTAGGACGACAGCGCACACGCTACCCATTCGTCAAAAACCTTTTCTTGCGTAGCTGTTGCCGTTGCATACTCGTACATAAGTTTCCTCTATGGCTCAATAGACTCGCTTCGTGCTCACTTTCATCTATCCCAAAGAAAGTTGACTGGATATGCTCTGTTCCCATGACTTACCTAGGACGGGTCGGCAGCAGCGGGCGTCTGACGGATGGCCGCGTCGTCTGTCTGAGCTTCCACCCCGATAGTCCTGAGCAGACGCCGCTCCCAGATAGCCACTATCGGGCTGCAGTGACTCCGGTTATCAGACCAGACCAGTCCCGTGCAACAGCGTCTCAGATAGACAGAGGCCCGGTATGTATGTTCTATTGGTCTAACGATAACTAGCCGCGTTTACATAGGGCTAGTTGCCAGATAGTGGAATTTCCACTAACAGAGGGTTCCCGAGAAATACGCCATGACCAATATCCTGGACGCAATTCGGTGTGCAGACGAAAATATGCATGTGAGTGCTAGAAATTCGTAAATTACATAATTTCATTGACTGTTTTTGTTAAAAACACGTGATGACAAGCTCAGCAAATCTATTCATGGTGGCTTACGTGGCAAATTGGCTTTCCTTTGTGGGATAATGCCATTTTCACTAGCTCTACTTTGATTAGCGTATGACAGGTGTTCGTGTAAAATAAGCAATTTTACCTATTTCCTTCATCAGTTTGGTAGCTGAAACAGCTACCAATTTACTTCCACTATGACAGTTTCCAGTAACATATGCTACTGATTGGCTAATATTAGCCAATCAGATCTCTGGAGTTCCCCGCAGTGCGTTACAACTATGACGCGGCAAAGACATATTTGGACAAATCAAATTTCTATATTGATATGCCTATCTACACTGCATTGGCCTTGCGTGGATGTCATCAAGTGAAATAGTTTGGCCTAAGGTCAGTGAGACGCTAGTCGCTACTCTTCTATACGCTATGCCCTTTTTCAATATGAATACGGTGTCGTGTTCTGACTGCAGACTCCTGGTAAGTTTGTGCAGGTCTCACGGAAGGGGCGAGGGCGCTCTTTCGCTTTTCGATCCAGCAGGCAACAACAGATTTTTTGTAAAGGAGTAGGAGTGGAAGTCACAAATTTATTTAAAAGTTGGTAAAGTTGTTTTGGTTTAAAAGTTGGTGCATTTGCCTTGTCAAGGGTATGGAACCTCAATATATTGCTAAGTCATATTTCCAGGATGTTGATAGGTATGTTTGGAAAAAGATGTTTTGATAATGTCGAGAAATGTAGCAAGGACTTTCCTATCTTAAAATCAGTTGCTCGCTACAGTTTCATGATTTTAAGGTGTGCATGAAATAATGAGAAAAGGTAAAAACAAAAATATGAATAAAAATTTTGTTAATTCATGATGCATCCTAGAATTTTTTTTTCGTTGATTAAAGCAAGGCTTGCGACTGAACCATAATGTACATTGACTGATGCGCAGTGTCCCAAAATTTGTAGATGTGGGTGGGAAACGACATCGAAATGCAAATCATTTTCCACTCTCACCTCCAGTTTTCAAGCCCAATTTTCCACTCCCAATCCCACTGAGAAGGAGCAATTGCGGGAATGGTTGTTTTACATCTGTCACAATTGTAGATAGATTAATGTTTTTGATCATTTTCCCACTCTTTTTGGGCCTTACCTGGCCGACAATTTTCACTCTCATCCTTTTTTTTTTTTTGGTCAGCAATTTTCCCCTCTGACACCCAAGCAAAAATATGATTTTAGTACACTGCAGTGAGTGCTCCGAGTACCTACAAAACCAACAGCATGATGAATGGCTGAATCCTGTCCGAGTGGTTGCATTACCTAGTTGCATTTTTTCAATTCACCACACTCCTGTATCATGCAGGCATGGGAGTTATTTCAGAATTAAAATTAATATTTAATATATCTTGTTTATGAGACTCCTCACGGGCCAGACTGGAAAACATCCATACACTACGCCGGACGCCCGTGAGACCATCTTGCGCCGAATTTCGGCGCAAGCGATTTTGCGCCGAAATTTTTGAGTGATTTGCGCCAAAAATTAGGTGGCTATTTGTGCGAAAATTAAGCCCTTTTCATATAAAGCACATGTGCACATATACTGATCAAGGCTGTATCAACCAGGCAGAGTGTTTCGGGGCTTTGTACACTATCCCATGTTTGAGCGTCCGAATTAGATTTTATTTCCACGTAAACCCAATACCTCGACGGGAGCCAGCGAGGGCCCGGCAGCGGAGCAGCACGTGCTCCGCGTGCTGCTATGAGACTCCTCACGGGTATGGTTATGGCTGCTGGCAGGCTGTAGCCAGCCTTTGTCAGTAAGGGATTGGCTATGCATGGTTTTGTGCGTACATATGATTTCAGACCAAATTCTGCCCTAGCCCAGTATGTGTGCTTAGAATGTGGAGGGCATGCCAACATGTTCCTCTCAGCGGGGACTATGTCCTTGTGAACCCTTCCATTCAGAAGATTCAGATCAAATTGATAACATAAAGCCTTGGCTAGAGTGGCTGCTGGGGTGCTAAGACTTAAAATATGCGCTAAGGTCAGGTGTCAGCCAGTAGCGGCGGAACACCTTCAATTAGGTGGGGGGGACACTGCCGACTTTTGGTCCAAGTCCCATTCTTTCCATGCAACGCCCATAGGGCTAATGTTAAAATGCCAAAGCCAAAGGGGGGCACGGCACGGTGCCCCGGTGCCCTCCTCGTTCGGCCGCCCATGGTGTCTGCTCAAGCTACAGAGCTGCCATTCCAGCTGTTCTAAACCCATAATAAAAGTGGTATTTCTCCTGACAGCTGAATCCTCTCCAGTGACAGCTGATCCTCGCCATCTGATCCTCCCCAAAGACAGCTGACACTCCCTGGTGGGGGATGACCTTGCCCGGTAGCTGGTGGCAGCGAACCCTTCCCAGTGATAGCTGACCTTCCCCGGTGGGAGGTCACAGCTAACCCCTCCGACGGATCACCCTCCCGGTTCTGAGCCCCGGCGTCACTGCCTCCCATTGACAGACTTTTCTGGCGGCAGCAGAAAAGTACTCCAGCCCAGCAGACTCCAGCCGAGCCGCACCCAGTGGCGGCCGACGCCGACCACGGCGGGCGTTGCGGCGCGCGCCGGACGCTTCACCAGCACACGCAACGTCATCGCGTCGCTCGCCACCGAGCAGGTCCAGTTTCGGGCTTGCCGGCTCGTCGCTGATAACAGACTGCCGTTCTCGCGGATGGCGGTGCCTAGCTGCGCCAGCGGCCGGTCAGCGCTCCAGACGGGTCGCGCCGCCGGCCAGCCCACCGCCAGGCACTGCACCAGTAGCGGCCGCGCCTGCTCGGCCAGTACCAGTCGCGAGAACCAGGCTATTTTTTCGTGCCGCAATGTTTGTGTTGGGCCGATAGAGCAGCGCTCGGGATGGCGCGCCCTGCCCGGCTTGGTTGACGGCCGCCACCCACACCTCGTAGCTCTGGTGGTGGTCTAGATCCTTCAGCTTCATCTTCAATCGCCCGGCCAGGCCGGGCGGCGCCCAGACCGCCGTAGAGGCCGGCGGCCTAGCTGGCCGCGCGGCAACCATTCGCTGGCCGTCCACCGCCTGGAGACGGTCGGCGCAGAGTTCTACAGTAGCCTGGTGTTCCAGTGCGTGCGAGCCGACCAGGCTGCGGCCAACGCGGTAACCGGCAGCCGCCACTCGGACTCGGCCGAGCTCCGCGTCAGAGTGCCGCCGCGCTGGCTTCACCAGATGGTGGACAGGGAAGTGGCACTGGGCGGCAGCGTCGTGACTTCAACTGTTCGGCGGCCGATCAGCCACCGTCCATTGTCTCATGGACTGGACTTTCACTTCAGCCGCCGCGCTCCGGGGCTCCGCCGACAGGCGGCTCATCCTCCGTCGACAGGCGGCTCATCCTCCGTCGGGCGGCGCCGACGGCTGCCTGTCGCCGCTGACGGTCGCCGAGATCGGCGGCAGAGAAAACGGCTACAGCGCCGACAAAGGCGTGGACGAGCCGCTGCGGCGCGCCGCGCCGCACGGCATTACCGTGCCGGCCCGTTTCCAGCAGCGTCAGAGAGCCGCCTCGGTGGTGTCTGGCGCCGTTCGGTGACCGGCCGCTACAGCTGAGCTGGTACCGGCGCAGCCATCTGCTGGCGACCCCGACCGAGCTCCGGTGAACCCGGCGGACGGAGACGTCACTGTGCAGGTAACAGCTGCGGACGGCTCATCCCAGCTGACACTGACGGCGGCGCGACGGACCGACGGCGGCACCTACACGTACGCAACAGTCACGGCGAGGACAGCACCGCGCGGCACGTGATAGTGACGGAGCGGCCGGAGCCGCCCTCCGATCGGCGGCTGGCGTCCGTCACCTTGCGATCCGTGCTGGTGGCCTGGCCGCCCAGGTACGACGGCAACAGCGTCGTGGCGCACTACGTGGTTCAGTGCGTCGCCGCCGGCCGGGTCTGGCAGCTGGGAGTCAATGAGACAGTGTTGGCCCGGCAGCGGAGTGCGCTGGTGGCCGGCCTCCAGCCCAGCGCCTCGTACCGGCTGCATGTGTTCGTCGTGAATCGGCACGGCAGCAGCGAGCCAGCGGCGCGCTGAGGGTGCACACCGAGCCGGAGCCGCCCGGCGGGCCGCCGCTCGGCGCCCGGCTACGACCTGCCGGGCCGCGCACCCTGCGGCTGACGTGGAGCCCACCGCCGCCGCAGTCGCTGACCCACGGACGGATACAGGCCACCTACGTCCGGCTGGCCGACCAGATCACCCTGACCAGGTCTGTCCGCCGACCGGAGCTGGTGCTGCTCCTCAAACACCTGCAGCCCAACACGGCATACTCAGTCCCGATGAGCGCCTGTAACCGAGCCGGCCAGGGTCCTGCCAGCTCGCCCGTCACCGCCACCACAGAGGAGGGAGTGCCGGAGGTGGCGCCGCGTCAGCTGACCTGCCGGGTTGTGTCACCCTCCTCCATCGGTCTCAGCTGCCTGTGGCTGGCCGGCGGCGCGAGGGCCCGTTCCCGGCCGACCTGGACGTGGCCGAATTGTGCAGTCTGCTGCCGGTCACAGTCTACCAGCTGTTGGTGAGCGCCCACAGCGCGGCCGGCACCACAGAGTCTACCACCCGGCTGGCCATCCACGCCGCAGACGGAGCAATGATATCTCCGCTGCCGCCGCCAGAAAAGTCTGTCAATGGGAGGCAGTGACCCCGGAGCTCAGAACCGGGAGGGTGATCCGTCGGAGGGGTTAGCTGTGACAC